AGATTGAGGAATATTGGGATTACATCTTCTGTAAATTTCTTGCAGAATTCAGCTGAGAATCCATCAGGACCTGGACTTTTCTTTGTCAGTAGTAAGTTTTTTTTTTTTATTACATTTTGAATTTCTTTGGCTGTTATTTGGTTATTGAGAGTTCTTTTTTTTTTTTCCCCAGAACTGGGGATTGAACTCAGGCCCTTGCGCTTGCCAGGGAAGCACCTATTCCCCTGAGCCATCTCCCCAGCCCCTATTGAGAGTTCTTATATCATCTTGATTGAGTTTTGTTGATTTGTACCTGTCTAGGAATCTGTCAATTTCTTCTGTGTCTTTGATTCCATGAGAGTAAAGATTTTCAAGGTAGCTATTGATGATCTTCTGAATTTCCATGGGTTCTGTGGTAATTTTGCACTTTTCATTCCTTAATGCTTGAATTTGAGTTTTTTTCTTTCCACTTTTTGACGAGGTCAGCTAGGGGCTTATCAATTTTATTTAATCTTTCAATGAACCATCTGTTTGATTCATTAATTTTTTTGTATTGTTTTTTCCTTGTTTCTATTGCATTAATTTCTTCTCTATTCATAATTTTCCTCTCTTCTTTTGGCTTTGTGTGTGGTTTGCTTTTCTTTTTTCTGGATATTTCAGGTGCAGCATCAGGGTATTTATTTGTTCTCATTCTGTTTTTCTAATGTGTGAGTTCACAGCTATAAACTTCCCTTTAAGAACTTCCTTCACTGCATCCCATAAATTGTGATAAGTTGTGCTTGAATTTTCATTGAATTTTAGAAATTGTTTAATTTCTTGTTTAATTTCATCTATAACTCATTGGTTACTGAGGTGGTTGTTGTTTAATTTCCATGTATTTATGGTGTTTTTCTGGTTTCTTTTGTCATTTATTTCCAGTTTCGTTGCACTATGGTCAGATAATTTGCATGGGGTAATTTCTATTTTCATGTATATACTTAGGCTATGGACTTAATTTATAGGTTAGTCCATACACAACCTATGTACTATTATGCGGTATACTTTAGAAAGTGTCCCATGTACAGCTGAAAAGAATACATATTCAGATGTGTTTGGGTGGAACATGGTATATGTCCACTATGTTCATGTGTTCTAAAGTCTGATTGAGTTATGCTACTTCTTCGCTAATTTTTTGTCTGCTTGACCTATCTTTGGGATAAGGAGTATTAAAGTCTTCTGTTAAGATTGTGGTATTGTATAATAGATTTTTCATGTCCATTAAGATTTGTCTTATACATCTGGGTGCTCCTGTGTTGGGTGCATACAAATTTATGAGTGTACCTCTTCCTCTTGAATTTTTTCTCTAACCATTACATCGTGGCTTTCTTTATTTGTTTTGATCATTCTTAGTTTGAAGTTCAGAGTTTCTGTGAACAGGATCACTACCCCCCCCCTTTTTTTTTAAAGTCCTGGGGCATGTAGTATTGTTTTCCAACCTTTGACTTTCAGTCTATGAATTTTTTTGAGTTAAGTGTGTTCCTTGTATACAGCACGTTGTTGGATACTGCTTCCTAATATACTCTGCCAGTCTATTTCTTCTAATTGGAGAATTGAGTCCATTTAATTTGCTGATTATAAGTGAGATGTGTTGCCTTATGATTGATATGTTATTTTTTATTTACTTATTTTTACATGTTATTTTTCTGCTGTTGTATACCTCTTTTTCTCTTGTGTTTAATTGTTTGCTTTACTTGGTGGATTTTTTCCAGTCTCATTTGTGCAGTTGTGGTCTGTTTGGTCCCTCTCTAGAATATCTTTTAGTAGGCTGTGTAGGGTTGGCTTTGTCGTCATGAAATTATTTAGTTGTCCTTTCTCATGGAAGTATTTCACTTCTCCATTGACCTTAGAAGAGTGATTTGCAGGGTATGACAATCTGTGTTGGAGTATGTTTTCTGGAAAGACTTGTAGTACTTTGCTACATGCTCTTCTTGACTTGATGGTTTGTGAAGAGAAATCTGCCATTATTCTAATGGGATTTCCTTTACATGTATTCTGTTTCTTTTCTCTAGTGGCTTTTAATATATTGTTCATCTGCTGATTTTTTTATTTTCATTTTTTTCCTTTTTTTTGATTTATGGCAGTGTCCACAGGGTTTACAGTATGTGTATAACTGTAAACACTGTAGATCTGTGTAGATCAGACTCATAGTGATACTTCTGTTTACAGTCTCCCAAGTGCTGGGATTACAGGCATGCACCACCTCACAGGCTAAATCGCTGTAACAGAGTCGGAGGGGCAGCATGGCAGGACTGGGGAAGGAACTCCTGACCCCTGCCTAAGACATATTTTAATCCGCTGAGCAATTTTTCTGGCCCTGTATGCTTAATATCTGAGACCTTAATTATTGCATATCTGGATGTTCCATTAATTGGGTTGATGTTATTTGGAGTTCTATATATTTCAGTTTACTGAAAGTCATACCGTTCACCCATATTTGGGAAGTTTTCTGCTATCACTTCTGCCCATATCCTTTTTTATATCATTTCTGTTGACTCCTTCTTTCTCATTGATGCCCATTAGTCTTACGTTGTTCATCTTTGCATTGTCTTGCAGATGTTGAACTATTTTTTCCTGCATCGTAGTTGTTTATAAGAACAACTTCTCACTAGTTGGCACGGTCTTCAAAGTATGAAACTCTATGTTCACTTTCATTCAAAAGGTTTTGGCAGCTTGTGATTGAGGTTTTAGTTTCTTGCATATCTCTTTAAACCTGCTTCATACATTCTGTTTCTTTCCT